GCTTCTTTCCAAGTAGGCTGTTAAATTCACATTAGTCTTGAGCTACCTGAATCTTCTCGCCTTGAGTTAGGAGTTATCTGCTTAGTCACTTTCTCATAGCAGTGGTACATTCACTTCTATGGAGCCACCTTCACACTTCTCCATTGCCTTCGCTCTCATGAATGTAACCTGTAACGCCCGTAGATCCGGGCTAGTCAATTTAGAGGCAATAGGGGTCGAAAACGACTTTTCGACAAAAGATTATTTAGAATAAATAATCTTAACCAAGTTTTGGAATATGTCCCAAGTTTTCCGTACATATAAAGAATGCCGAAATCCGAGCTATAACGAAGAAGTTATGGCTCGCCGAAGTTTTACGGCAAAACCGGCATGACACCGGGGGACGTAAATAGTGAATTTACGATAGAAGACTTTTTAGCCTTAGCAATCTAAACAAAAGTCTTATAATATGTTAAACTAAGAACATCGATAAAAAGAACGCCCAAATCTGACTTCGTATGAAGAAGTTTTGATTTTTCTAAGATTCGGCTTAGCAGTGCACGGCCCGAAACTCGAATTTTAGTTCGAGCAGTTTTTGGCTTATGCGACCTAAATGAGAGTTGAAGGTCTCATTAATAGGAACTCAACGATAAAAAGACAGACGAAAACGGAGTCCGTATGAAGGAGTTATGAACTCTTTGCGGTCATTTAACAGTCTAACCGCCTCCTACTGTTAAATTTGAGATCAATCAAGAATTAGCCGACAGAGTCTAAACAAAAGTTGTAGATCTTGATTTTACCTACGCGTGGATATAAAGAACGTCGAAAACGGAGCTCGTATGCGAAAGTTATGATTTTTCTAAGTTTGAAGGCTGATACGCGATAGGGGTGACGTGGCACCACCAGAAGGCCACCACATGGACCAACTCGGCGAGTAGGTCCCCCCTACTCGGCGAGTAGACCAGTCAGCACCCCTATAAATAGAGGTGTCGGGTTCCCTCATTTCCTCACCCCTCACCCGTCTTCTTTCTCTCTCTAAACTCTCTCTCTAAGCTCCCTAACCCCCCTAAAGGCCTAGGTAAACCCCCTAGCACCCGAAGGAAGCCCCGAGGCTCTCGGAGTCCCAAGAAAAGAGCCTTTCGGCTCAGGAATGCTGCTCCAGCGAAGCCCGGTTTTCGAGAAAAACCCGCTGTAAGTGAGCTGTACCTATCCTATCTTTAGTTTAGCTTATGTTTTAATATAGGAATGTTATTAGGTTCTTAAAATAATTATTTGGGCTATTATTATGAGTTATATTGAGTGTTATTTAACACTTATATAATAATAATAATAGCTAGACTATTAATTAGTCACGGTTATCGTTAGACTAAACCCTAGTGGTATTGATACTAGGTTTTATCGAAGGAAATTGTTTTGAGAGTATCGAAGCGTTGTCCGAGTGCTGAGTCACCACCTTTCAAGTGAGTGCATAGACCCTTTCATGAACATGATTTTAATACAAGTATTGATTGAAGTATTAATTATATGTTTATGTGCGAGTTAATTGATGTTGCTTGAAATTCGTGTTAAAGAACATACCTGATTATATTTGATAATTTAGGATAAAGAGTAGACCTAAATTAAAAATGAGGAATATTGGGTAGTATATTCTTACGAGTACAAGTGAGTTAAACTCAAAGAATAGAAGTTAGTATATGTCACTTATCCGGGAGTATGGATTAGACATAGTCATTGTTCCTAGTCCAGGAATATGGATTAGGCATAATCATTCGTTATTAATCCGAGAGTATGGATTAGTCATTGCCCCTAGTCCGAGAGTATGGATTAGGCATAATCATTCATCATTAATCCGAGAGTATGGATTAGTCATTGTCCCTAGTCCGAGAGTATGGATTAGGCATAATCATTCATCATTAATCCGAGAGTATGGATTAGTCATTCGTCCCTAGTCCGAGAGTATGGATTTGGTAAATTCGTTCATTTCTGATCCGGGAGTATGGCGTAGGTAAAACGACTAATCTTAGGACCGAGAGTATGGATAGCCTCGTTGCGAGGGTCGACAGGGTGGGATAAGAGTTGTTTATATATATGTATGGTGAAATTGTATATTTTGTGAATTTTAAACTATATATATGGTATAACATTGTGGGATTGAAATCCCTATATACTCACCAGGTTTCCCAACCTGACCCACTCAGTTTATTTATATCACAGGTGTTCATATGAAGTCACATTACACTGAGAGATCAAAGAGATGTAGATCACTAGTGTAAATAAATGTAAGTTCTGTTTATGCTTTTGTTCCTGTATTGACGATGACATCCCAAACGTTTTAAAATGAATAAAATACGTTTCTTCAAAAATGTTTTAATAACGTATTTATCGTGTTTTTCTGGGAACGAATTCCGCAACATTTTTATTAAAAGAAGAACTCTGATTTTTATAAAGCATAAACAAAATCGGTCTTTTGTGGCCGTGATTTTGTGGATGTCACATAACCCTTAAGACTCTCAGCGATACCACTGAGGTTTATGGTTACACAGCATCTATGTTGATGATCTTAGCTTCATCCACCATGAACTGAATGAAACCCAAAATCCAAAACACTTAATTGAATTGATGGTGAACAATTAAATGTTCAAGATTTTCACCATGGAATTAACGATAGCCACCTTCATGGTTTGTACCAAGAAATCTCTTTTTCTTTTGCGAGATCTTTATGAAGTGTTCTTATCCCAAGATACTTCTTCCCATAAGATCTTTTTTTTTTTTTTTTTTGAGATTTCAGATTTTCATCTTGTCACTAAAATAATTCCAAACCTACTCGTTCAATTGACTACACTGGTCACACAAGTACTTTGTTCAACTTTCGAACTTATGTCAAGTTTTGGAGTTTGAATAAAGATGAAGTCACCTTATAAGCCTATTAAAAGATGCATTTCAATGTTTCTTATCAAACACTTGATCGTATTTCAACGGGACACCATACTGACACTTCTTAGTCTCTCTTGACTTCGAAGGAAGAGATCTATGCCCGGTATCCACTACTTCGTGTCTTTACTTAGACATCACAAATCCCACATATAAGCATTATTTTATTTCTTTATCTTTCGCAATCTTGCACGAATATCCTTGTGATTTTCAAAAAGTCTGGTTCGTGGTTCTCAATTGTATTTTTAGGTTCGCAGTACAACCCATTCTTGTTAAAAATGAATGTTCGTGGTGAATGGGTTAAATAATGTCTAACTACGAAAGATCAATGTTGACGCGGAAAATTCCTGTCGATAAGAATTCAAATGGGCGCGTGGAATTTTAAACATACAGCTACATTACCGCCGCATGACGTACGGGTGTGACATCTACAGTTGTCAAGTCGCGCTTTTTCAGGTGACGTTTCAGCAAACGATGCATTCTCTCTCCATATTTCTCTTATAACTCGAATGGTATATAAGTATTTTAATGATTCCTCTCTCATTATCACTTACAAAATCCTCTCAAAAGATTTCTAGCGATTAAAATCCCCACTGTTCATCTTCTTCTCTCTCTCAAGTATCATCAATGGTAGGTTCATCCGAAAATCTTTCTGTTCAAGATCAAATGGTCCATTCTTCTCTACTGGCTATCAAACAATATCAAAACCTATTGATCAATCTAGATCCATGTAAATATGATCCATTCATGCTTCCAATCGTTGAATGCCTCAAGTATTCTCCGTTGACGATTGCTCTTACCCAGATGGAAAATGTCCCAATATCGCTTCTCTCCAAAGCTTACTCTTCTGCCAACTATGTCAAAGAAGAGCAAAAGATCACGTTCAAGATTCATAATCATACTACTTCCATCATCGAAACCCGGTTATGCATGCTTCTTGGGCTTCCACCGACTGATGACATGATAAAACCTAAAACAATTCCCAACGTTGTGCTTCTGGAGATGTTCTATCAGATGGGTTACAAAGAAACCCTAACCATCGTCTATAAGTTCAAGAAACCCAATTTACCTCCTCAATGGAATGGGATCTTCACTTTTCTTTTCAAGAGCTTTTCTGAACGGGTAACCAGATCTGATTGTGCCAGCAAGATGTTCTTGGCACTCATGTACAATCTTTACACAGGTCTAAATGTCGAGTATGGAGCAGTTCTTTGGGCTCAAGTCATTTAGAGTACCCTCTCTACCACACGTCATAGTGAAATCTCATGTGTATGTTTCTGCACAATCATTGTTTGCAGGTTCATCAACAAGCTCCAGATTCTCCTGATGCAAGATGATGTGATGGATTCCATCTCCACTTTTCACACCACTAGGAGTATCGTTTCTGATACATCAAAATTCTCCTTCATTGGTTCAATCTCAGAAGCTATGTTTCGTGATGTGCCATCTTCTAGAAAAATCTTGGAGGGATATAGGAAATTGACTCCTTCTGGGTTTCATCCTTTAACACCAGAAATGCAAGTCATAATTGTTGAGGCAGACAAAACCAAGAAAGGTGGAAAGGGTGCAAAGAAGGAAGAAAAGAAAACTACTGACAAGGAAGGACCATCTGCAACTGCGAAACATCCCACCAAATGAAAGGCACCAACATGCACCTCAACTGCTGCTCCCAAAAGGCGAAAGCATCCGGCTCGCAAGCGAAAATCCCCTACTCGCATTTCCAGCGAAAGTTCGGAGTCTGATGCTCAGTCATATATTCGCAACGAGGAGGGTGAGAACACTCGCAACGAAAAAGAGAATCCCAATCCTGAGGTAACTCAAACTTTTAATGATTTTGTCCCTTTTCTTCCTCCTTCACCTAAAACTACTTCAACACCAATCACCATTGCACCATTTTCTCCACCAGTCTCTTTGCAACTACAAACCAATGTTCCTCTTTCTACCCCGCTGTTTAAAGATTCTACTGTCCTACCAACCACCTCTACCAAACCTCCTATTTCGGTCAACGTATCCGATATGGGGGATAAAGCATTAGGTTTCTCAACCATGTCTCACCTCCTATTTCTCCTCTTCGCCAAGATGATCTTGACATGATATTTGGTAATGATGATGAAGATGAAACTCTAGAAGGGTTCACCTACAATCCCTTCCATATTAGGACTAATAGTAAGGACGAGCCTTCTGTTGCGAAAGTGCAACTACAGTCACTGCATGAAAAGATAGATCAACTTCTTCTCGCTTCCAAGACTTCATCTTCTGAGGCTTACTCTAAAGCAACAGTTGAGTCTGTCTTTGAACGAATCATGAAAGAGCATTCAGCCAATGCTGAGAAGATGACTAAAGCAATTGTTGATTCTGCTGAAGTTTGCAAGATTACGACCGAAAAAGTTGATAAACTAATTTTTGAGACTACTACATTCATGGAGAATTTCAGAACTACCTTTGACTCCAATTCAACGAAGGCAAATGAATCTCTTCAGAGTCTGGGTTCTTTATTTAAAACTAAGAAGGGAATTCGCATGGGGCTGAAATCTGATCATGAAGCATTTCAAATTGCCATCTCCTCTCAACTTACCAAAATTCAAGCTGAACTAGCGATGGAGAGTAAAATTATGGACTCTTTTCCCCTTAAAACTGAAAGAGTGAAGGTTCTCACTATTAACCTTGAACATGTTGAAAAACAGGTTAATGATATGATCATTGAAAGAGCTGTAATGAAAATTTGTATCTCTGATATCACAGGCTTACTCTCAGATATCATTGAGACTCGGGATTCAACGATCACCATCTCCATTCGCAAGCATCTACATGAGAAGTTGCGGCCTGTCTTCGCAATGCTTCATAAGTTGGAAGGTGTTTCAGATCAATGTTATGTTCCAAAACAAGGGGGAGAAGGTGGTTTAGTTGTGTCAAGAAAAGAAGAACCCAAAGCTCCAACTAAACCTATTATCAAGCAAGAACCTAAGGGCAAGGAAAAACTATTCAGTGAGGAGCCTATCATCGATGACAATGAAGATGAAGAAGAGCTAGATGAAGACAAGCTTAAAAGGAAAAAGGGTCATGAAGATGAGTTGGATGAGAACAACCGAATAATTTAAGAAGCTGAAGAAAAAGAAAGAGTTGAGAAGGAAGCTCAGGCCACTCTTCAGAGAAAAAAGCTCTTGATTCCTAAGTGGACCTTAAAGGGAGTCCAACATGAGGTTCTTGATTTACCAAGCCAGTATTGGTTAGAGCCATTTGTGTCATTTGATCTTCAAAACACACAAGATTCGCAGTTGGATCTACCAATTACTCAGGTTTCGTGCTTTTGTGAAAGTTACAGAAGCTCCAATCACGGAAAACAGAGCTGATCATATGTTGTTCTCTTTTTATCTAAAACACATGAAGCCACAATATGAATCATGGTGTGCTAGCAAAATAACTCTCATGAAAGTCATAGGGCCGATCGAAACTGACAGCTTCCCCAACACAAAGTTCAAAGTGGCGAGAGGATTAACCAGTCAGGTCTACGAATTCACACTCGCAGAATTGCCTTGCATAAACCCCTATGAATGGATTGTACTCTATAACATGTTTCTGAAAGAAAAACTGAAGTACAAACCTATCATGTCCCATCTCCAATTAATGCTTCAGTCTTACATTCAATAAATTGGTGAGATGGATGTTGAGATAGCCATGGTACTACGAAAGAAACCTTTTGTTTTTCCAAAAGAGTCTCCAAAGGATTTTGAAAAGCTAAATCCAGACAAGATTTACAAAGAAGGATGGTTTGTGGTGTATCAATCTAGGTAACGAACTGAAGCTGACTTTCGCACATCTTGCTTATTTCTTCCTAACAAAAATCTGTACACTACCTCCTTTCTTGAGTTTATATTGGACTTGCTGACCAAATTCAAGGGCAACAGTAGGGAGGATATCAAGTGCTACTACGACATGGTCTTGTGGTATATTCGAGTTCCCAGGTTATTGTTGAGCTTTATTTCGAAGATTTATGAAGTGCAAAAGGGAATTCAAGGATAATGGACACCTGCCTCAATTGATGCAAAGGGGGAGATTGTTGGGAATGATATATTGCATCATTGGGCCTTTTGTTTAAATCTGTTATGTAAACGGGTTGGACTTGTCCTCCCGTATTTAAT